CCAACCATGCCATTCCTTGGATGAGGTCATACCTTTGCAACCAAGTCTAAAATCAGACAGCGTTCCACGCTATCAAGGTCAAGGAACTTGACTCCTAGGTCCACCGGGACCTTCGGAACCGTGATACGCGTCCCCGTCGCTAGGCAAACAGTGACGATGTCACCCAACCGCGCTTTTAGCGCCTCAGCATACAGCTGACTTTCTTTCATCGTGGAGCGTCAAGCATAATTGCCCGACGGCCCGGAATCGATGAGGATCTTCCATGGCTTTTCGAGCCCTTTACGGTCGCCTCCACCACCAGCAAGCCCGGCTTGCATACATATTCCGTATTCAAGAGCATGAAGCGCTTCGGGGCTGGACCCTGCTGACCTCTACCTCCCTGATGCTCAAAAATACTCAGTTCTTTCCCAGTAAGTCGCCCCGCGCCTACTGGGTGGTGACATTACCCCGCGACGAACGAGACTGGTACGCATTGGGGCGATGGTTCGAAGAACCTTGACGCGCCTTGCGCAGGAAGCAACCGTTCCGAAGGTGACAGGTGTCTCCCCGGACAAAACACCGTCGTGTGTTTTTGTGCTGATCGGCAGCTCGGAGCTCTGTTCCCTGGTCTTAAGCATAGCTGAGATCCATGAGCACACACCCGCTCGACGAGCTGTTGGAGTGCATTCCAACCAAGTCGTGCCGACTTGAAATTGAATTCGGCATTCAATGCCACAATCACCGCTTCTTTAAACGAAGACAGACGCATATGGAAGACCTCCATTCTAGCCACGCCAGTGCGGAGGCCTTTCATAAAGACGGTCAGTGTGACCGCCTAAGGAAGGGGATCTGCTGCCATTCCGGCAATGAGAGTGCGCATCTCTTGGACAGAGTCCACCAATTCCTCGTTGCCCTGTCGGGCGGCAAGTAAACGCGATCGCACGCGATATGCCTGATTAGGCGGCGAGAACACTCGTGAGAGCTGCAATTTTAGCTTCGCCCAGGAGGGATACGCTGCTTCGATCGAAGTGCCACACGTCAGTGCCTATTCTCGCGCTCGACCACCGAGCTTTGAGGTGGATAACGCCACACGCTGTTGCTCGGTCTGGAGCATGGCTGATGCGATGGTTATCTCGACCTCTCTCACCCAGAGCAGGAGATTTGCTTGATCCTTTCCCTCAAAGACCTTAGCGCTCACCACGAACGGCTTAGGGCGGGGAAGCCATCCGTTACCGGCGGTGGCGTCATAGACGCAAATGAAGCAGACATCTTCTGCTGCAAGTGCTCTAGCAGCGCGTTTTCGTAATTTGTAAAACGCCTCTAGACGCGCACGTATTGCCTCGGGGCCTTGCGCAGCAAGGTGTTGCACGCCCTCATGGCCCAGCAAGGACATCAGCTTTTTAAGCCCGTCCTGCATGCCCTGGAGTAAGGAGAAAAATTGTTTCATCCTCCCAGAAGATCATTCCAAACGACTCAGGTGGAGATTGACTACAAGTGCTATCAAGTGCAGCGGGGCTGCCGTAGCTTTGCGCTTTGAGGAAGCGTAACTTAGGTCACCG